GACTGACATGAATGTGGAGGGAAGGCCAACCATCAAACCTGTCCCAGCAGGGCTCTGTTCTGGGGAATGAAACCACATCCTATTGCAGGCCTTCTCAGAGGGAAGGGGAGGGAGGTCAAGTACAACACAGGGGAGCGGACTGCAACGACAAGGCTGCATTTCTCAGCACAAACAAGGTAGTTTCCAATAAGAGAGAGAGGAGATGCTCGGGGGACAGACACACATATGAAAGGTAGGGTTCATTGTAACCTCTTCAGCGTGGCCTCCAGGAGGCCTTGCACAAACTTCCTTTTGTCCTCACGAAGCAGTACTGTGATTGTAATGGTCTGAGAGGCAGTTACAGTCAAATGCCTCGCGGGCTGAGCGGTGGTGGGGGGCGGTGGTGAGGGGGCATGGGGTGGGGGTCACCGGGCTCACGCCTGCCCATTTGGGCGCTCGCTGCCATAAGCAGAGACTCCATTTCGATCCAATTGCTTTTTACCTCCTTTATTCAGTTCACTTCTTTAGAGTCGTACTTCTCTAGCCAGCACATCAGCACTTAAATACCTGGTTCTGTACCCTCCTTAGGAGGACAATCTCTTTATTCCAATTGTGAAGACAGTTATGCATCTCCTTTCTTCAGAACTGGTTTCAGAAACAGGCAGAGGTTCCACACAAGAGAAGCAGACAGTCCTTGATAATCAACTTTTTTTTTTTTAAGATTTTATTTATTTGAGAGAGAGCGAGCGAGAGAGGGAACAGAAGCAGGGGGAGTGGGAGAGGGAGAAGCAGGCTTCCCGCGGAGCAGGGAGCCCGATGCGGGGCTCGATCCCAGGACCCTGGGATCATGACCTGAGCCGAAGGCAGACGCTCAACGACTGAGCCACCCAGGCGCCCCGATAATCAACTTTTTCTTAAGAAACGACATCACTCTCGTTGATCAGTGGATTTCTCATTGATCGATGGATTCATCTGTTCATTCAACAAACACACTGAGGGCCAGTCTTATGCAAGGCCATGACTGTTGTTGCCCAAATCCAAACCCAAGGTTTTAAATGTCAGCACTAGGGATATTCAAAAGGTAGGAGTCCCAGATTAGAAGTTTCAAAACAAGAATTCTCAAAATGCTTAACAACCTCATTAGAATGTTTATCAACTTTCATTTATTCAGATATTAAAAATTAGTTTCAGTACTAAGTAATCATGATATAGCATGTGCATGATATAAGTGTATACTTATAAAATATATAAGTGTATACTTATAAAATCAAATACATATATATATTATAAACTAAGCAGATGGTTAAAACTAAAGGGGAGGGAAGTTGTGCAAATCTGTACTGTTTAAGGGAGAAAAGAGGACTGGAGAGAAATAAAAACAAGTAATTAAAATGTAGACTTGTGTCAATACTTTTTAAATAACCAAGAAAAATACTCATTCATCACTTGTACGTTAATGGACTTACCACTACCATAGATTTACTGAAAAGTACAAAAATTCAAAAGTAGAGCTATAAATTGACATTTTAAAATTGAGATTACTATGCAACATCTAGGACCAACTTCAGGGAAAAGTAAATATAGGTGCCCTATAGTACCTATAGCCCCTCTTGCTACATGCCACCCACTTTGCCAATCATGGGCTCAGTTTTACTGACCGCTTTCAACAGCAAAACAATTTTTTTCCCCCTCCTAAAAGGGAAAAAAAAAAAAGAAATTTGGTAACCCTACTTCCAGGCTTATATAAGAATAATAACAATAATACCCATCACACACTAGTTATATATCATTTATCCCATGCTAAGTACCGTAGGAACCCACCTGTGCCTCCCAGCAGCATGACAAGTCACATGGGAGAAGTCAACAGAGACCAGACAGGTAGTGAGAACACAGGAGGGTGGAGAAGGCTGGAGGTGGGAGCATAGAGACATACAGTGGGGAGAAGCAAAGGCAGTAAAGAGAGAGGATTCTTTCTGCAGTCTGGCTGAGCTTCATGCTTCAGCAGCCCCAAAGAGCACAGGGGGCACCCCATCCTGACACACCCCACGTACCACCAAAGGTGTGGAACTCCACTGCTAGGTCAGGTTAGGCCGTAACAGCAGGAAATCACGAAACCACAACAGCAAGGGTTATCAAAGGTCAGGACGGGGTGGTTATGTCAAAGACCCCCTCCACCCCCCAGACGGACTCCAAATTGTCCCAGAGCACATAAACAGTTGTTCATGAAATTAAAGCGAGAGCGGGCAAGTGCGCAGGATTTGAAAATAACACATACAGAAAATGAAAACTAAGCAGCCCATATTGAGCTCGTCACCCTGCATGACAGCAAGCTTACACAAAAGCAGCTGTTCAAATTATTTTGTAGACTGACTCACTGAACAAACTTCGTGTCATATGACACATCTGCCAAAGTTAAAGCCTGCAGACCGTGTTCTCTAAGTGTTTGCTGATAAGAAGATCTCAGGGGTCCTATCTCTAGCCTAAATGCTTACTGAAAATTAAAAAAAAATTATCTGCAAGCAGATGTGTCAGCAGAGCCCTGTGTTTTCAGAAACCAGGTCTGGGACTTTACAGGCCTTACCGAAAGTCTCCGACAAGAGCGGTGACAGCCTCTCTGGGATGTCCCCCCTCTGGAAACAAAGCCTTCTCCACCCCCAACCCCACCCCTGACAGCTTTCTTGGGGTCACCTGGGAAGACAAATGAAATGCTGCTGTCTGGGCACTGTGAGGACAATCCCAGTAATATTCCAAGTTAGCCCCAAAACCTTTCATCTTCTGGGCCTGGGGGAAGGGCCAAACAGAAACCACCGGCACATTCCCTTGGGCCTGAGGCTACAGCTCACTAATTAGAAGCAGAAACAGATCTTTTTTTTTTTTTGAAAACCAAGCATCAGTTCGGCAAGCAAGCTGCTTCACGGTGAAGTGGTCCTAACATCTACCACCCACACTCAGATCACAACTCTCCCCCCTAGAAAGAGCCCGAATGCCTGCCAAGAATTATATAATGCCAGTTATGAACCGCCCCAAACTGTATTTAGAAGGGTCCTCTGACGGTTGTGGCTTCCTCATTTCTAGGAGCATCCCAACACAGTGAATAACCACTTACTTTTACATCCACTCAGTCCCTGACAGGAATGAACTGCGGCGCAAACTAAAACCATCACAAATTAAGTGTTGGGGGGGAGGGGTGAGAAGGCATCATTTTAGCTAAAAGTTAAGCATTTTTGTTTTAAAATAAAAAAATTTACGAAAAGAGCAAGCTTAACAAGAGATAAACCCTTACTTTTACATTTCTATTTAACAGCTTCAAAATCCAATTTAGAGCATTCGTTGATCTGGGGGGAGTAAAGAGAGAGAATTCTAATAAATGCCCAATGCTAAGGTGCCTTACTGCACACAACTGTAACTTCTGGCTCTCACCCCGGGCGGCAAATCTGTTAACACCGAACCTAGTCTCATCATGTTCAGAGTTATTCAAAATGTATAATGCCTGCCCTTTAAGAAATGGACATTTAATGGGGCACCTGGGTGGCTCTGTTGGTTAAGCGGCCAACTCTTGGTTTCAACTCAGGTCATGATCTCGGGGTTATGAGTTCCAGCCCCGCATTGGGCTCATGCTCAGTGGGGAGTCTGCTTGAGATTCTCTCTGTCCCTTTCCCTCTGCCCCTCCCCCTGGCTCATGCTCTCTCTCTAAAAATAAATAAATCTCTTTTTTTTTAAAAAAAGAAAAGGACATTTAAGAAAGCACTGACCCTGTAACCCAACTTCCATGCAAAAATGGTCACTGAAGTGAGAAGGCTTAGTCAATTTAAAATGTCCTTATACAGTGTGATTTTGTCCTGCACAAACCCAAGGGAGCAGAGAAACTTTAGTAAACTGAACATCCTTCCCTACATGGAAGACCATAACCCTGAGCTTAAAAGGAAAGAATGCTAACAAAAAGACTGGGCTGCACAAGAAATTGATCAGAACTATGTTTCTAAGACAGCGAGGGGAAAAAAGGGAGAAACAGAACTGAAGGCTCACAGGCCTAACTGCAAAGAAAAACAGTTTCAAAATAATGAGAAAAAAACCAATTCAGGCATAGGTGCAAATAATTCAGATCCTGGTGAGCTTTCTGTACTGTTTCAATTATAAATCATCAGCAGAGTCTCTAAAATACAACTTCCATATATAAAGGTGAGGAGTCCTCGGATTTAAGGAGGCACTTCACGAGGGAAAGGAATTATTTGGGAAGTAATATACACTCTGTTGCCAACAAAAAAAATTAATGAATAAATCATCCCTGTGCTCGCAAAAGCATTCCCAGGCAAAAATCTTCAAATGCGCTCATGGCGTTTCTTGGGGGCTGACTTCTAGAATCAACTGTGCTGGAGAGCACCCGGTTACCTGGAGGACAGGGGTTGTAGAAAGCTTGCAATGATTCTCTGCAAGCTGCTGGTGCACCTGGCATAACAGATCCCTTTTTCTACAAAACGCAGATGACATTTTGTATCTATGTCCCAGGGTTCCTCTGGGGATTAAATGGGATATTGTGAATAAAGCGCCTGGCACAGGACTGGCCCAAAGGAAGCCCATGAAAAAGCCACAAAAGCTATAATGTTTCAAAGCTGATGGGGCCCTTGTTATTTCACACAGTAACTGAATCATAAATCAATTGTTAACCAAGATGAAAATTTAGACACAGATTATTAGTAACTCCAGAAAAGGAAAAGGATCGTATTTTGTGTTCTTCAACGAAGACATGTGCTCATGCTCCAAGTACGCCAATCTTGTCTAATTACCGGGGAGAGAGCTCACCGCCCCCTTCCTCGCCCACATCTCCCAAACAGAAGGTTACTGACTAACATCCTGGGTTCCTGGAAGAGGCTTTTGTAGCAACAGTGCAGCGAAAAGCACAAGAACCAAACGTTCCTTGGCCCAGTGACATTTGGGCTCATTTTGATAGGAGTACCCGGAGTGAGAATTACAGATCTGACCCACAGAAGGCTTTATTTAAAAACATGCGGAAGGCACAGTACCTCTAATCGTTGTATGCGTCCCTTGAAAAACATGAAGAGGGAAGAATTTGGGTAAGCAGCTTCTTTTTTGAGAAGAATTTCCTTCGCTTCGTCCAGGCCTGCTTTGTTATCACTGCCGTCCAAGGCAAAAAACGGACGGACTACAGTATGATACCAGAGCAGAGCCAATCTAAAGAAGAGGGAAAGAAACGTTGAGCAAGACTTTTCTTATAGTGGTTCTACTTTTTAAAAACTCAGTAGGTGCTCTTCCAGAACACTCTCTTTCCAAAAAGCTTACTATGCAGTCTTTGAAGAAGTAAATTCAGAGTATCTTTCTTCATATTATCAATATTTGGGAAAACTTGACACTTTGGCACAGCATATAAATCAGCACACTCCCATCAGGTGACAGGAGAACAATATGATAAAAGCATGTAGCTTTTCTGAAACTTCCAGATGGCTCTTGAAAGTATGGACTGATGTAAATCTCTGAATTCGGAACTTCACTCATCAATGCACCAATCAGAAACAGTAACTGTTTACCATGAATTTACTGTCCCCTGATAATAAAAGCATTACTTTTCTGCAAAAGGAAAATGCTGTTTTCTCTTGTGTTCACAAAGTTAGAGTGTAAGTTTCAGAATTCAAATTTAAATATGGGAACCACAGACACAAATTATACTAAAATGGGTTAAAATAAGTCAGAGAACCAGAAAAAAGGCTCTTTCTCTGGCCTTTGAGGATGCTCAATTTGAAAAACAAATAATTACTTAAAATTCCCTTACTTCAAACTCATCCTTTCAAGAAAAATACCATGTTAAATAAACTCGATAACTAAAATAGATTCATTAGGATCTGCTTTAATGAATAGGCAAAAATGTTTCACCAACACATCAAATATTATTACATAAATGCACGCTTCTAGCATGTTTATAAAATTGGTTCTCTTCTGGAGATCACACTAATTTGCATTACCAATTCACTTCTTTCCAGAAAATACTAAGATATAAATAGACAAATTATCACATGTTACAAAACTGTTAAATCAAATTAAAATACCACTGTTTATGTAATTTAATGACTTTGGGGAGGCACAGATATTTTTGAAATGAAAATTTAATGATCTTTTTAATAGCTACCAACGGATTAAGAGTGAATATCCAAATTCCTCAATCTTGATAGGAGTAGAAACAGAGCTTACTGAAGTTCTTTGTGGTATCAACATTTTTTGGAAAAACTGATAAGTAGTGTAATGTCAAAGGGCATCTAGTGTCTGGTAAAATTACTCAAATTGCAAATGGTAGATATTTACCAGACTGAAAAAAAAAAAAATCACACTGTTTTTAACCGATGGAGGAGACGGTGAATCCTTGCTCTGGAGAGTTATACCAGCTTCTCCACACTCCTATTTAAATAACTGTCATTTCAGTTTACTCTAACATGACTCAATTTAGATTAACATGACTCAATTTAGTTGACCAGCACAAAATATCCAAGTCACATATGAGAGACCAATGAACCAACCAGGATCAAAGAAAATTACGCAGTATCAAGATTCTCTGTAAGAATTAAAATTTTAAGGGTCGCCTGGGTGGCTCAGTTGGTTAAGCGACTGCCTTTGGCTCAGGTCATGATCCTGGAGTCCCGGGATCGAGTCCCGCATCGGGCTCCCTGCTCGGCAGGGAGTCTGCTTCTCCCTCTGACCCTCCTCCCTCTCATGCTCTCTGTCTCTCATTCTCTCTCTCGCAAATAAATAAAATCTTAAAAAAAAAAAAGAATAAAAATTTTAAAATCACCAAAAAGGCTTATCGAATTCCTATTCCTTAAAAAATTCAAAAATCAGGATCATGAATCTCAGTGACTGTGGTCAAGGTCACAAAAACTGCTTATAAAATCATTTGAGGTTGAAAAAGGTGATCATTTTACCTGTTTAAAATAATACAGGACTCATGAGAGTCAGGAACAATGTCCTGCTCTCTAACGTCAGCTCCAAAGTCAGCTTATAAAATACCACCAAAAATGCAGTTCTCGGGGTTGCATTAAAAGACATAATGCATGGCATCACGTCAACCAACGAAGCTATTTACCTGAAGTTTCCTTTAAAGGCTTTGATTGTCGTTTACTTACTTTCAACACTATATTATCTACCAAAGCATTGCAATACAGCTACTCACGTAGCTAAAGGGGCCTTCATGTCCTTACTTTCGCTTGCATACATCAGTGAAGAAAGCCCTTGCAGGCGGTCTCCAGGAAAACCCAGCAGGTTGATGATTTTGAGCAGGTTGGGGGGCACCATGGATATGCAAAGGTGAAAAAGGCCATATCCAAAGCTAACAGCACCTTTCAGTCTGTTTAGAGACTCCTCAGACACCCCTTCAGCCACAATGTGATTATCATTTGCAGCGTCAGAAGTCAAAGGCTCTTCAGTTAGCTTCTTCTGATACAGCTCCTGAAGGGCACTGATGTCCAGATAGCATTTATTGTAAATCTTCCAGGCTTTCCTAAGGATCCACCCACCTTTTATATAGGCTACAGAGAAGGGGAGAAAGCATGAGAAAAATAAGCATTCAAAATAATTTTCTGTGTTGGTAAGGGATATTGAAGAATGACCTGAAATTCAAGCAAAAATTAAAAAAAAAACAAACACACAATAAAAATGACCATCACCCATTGCACCTTGTTTTCTGCAGAGGGCTTAAATTCCTTATTTGTTTCCCTTTACTACACTGGATGACCACTCGGCCAGAACCACATATCTTTTTTTGTTCACTGTTCTATCAAGCCCCTCATACACGAGCTGCGACGCAGTAGATGATATGCACCGCAAGACTAAATGCGTGACTACCAGCCTGCAAGCATCACGTGAACCCGATTTCTGTTCACGTGCTCCGTGAAACATGAACCTCCACCGTGTTTTTCTGAACTACCATGGCAACTTCACTGATGAACCTCTTTTAGAACTCTTACGTTTGTCTACCCCGTGTTTCGTTCCTCCGAAAGAGCAAGTTTTAAGTCTAATTCACTGCTAAAAGCACACCCCAGCATCAAGCATGGCAACTTGCCAAAAAATAAAACAAGCAAACAAAAAGGATGAATTTATACCTATGGAGTGAACGAATGGGCAGTTTATTAAGGTGTAAGTCATCGGTGTTAAATGCAGAAATGCAAACAATCCCCCATTCATCTGTATCTAATGCCTACTGTGTGGCTTCAGCGTACCTTGCTTAGGATGGCGTTATTTGGTCTATGAGGATGACACTCATCCCCTGTCCCAGCCTACATCTAGACAGATCCAGTGAAGGAAGGTGGCAAAAAGAAGCTACTTCGCACCAGAGGTGAGAAGCTGTTATTTATAAAGCTGCTTCCATGATTTCCCGTCAGACCAATTTTTAACACAGCCCTCACAGTCTCTGAAAGAGATTTCACAGATACGACATGGGATTGACCCACCAGTTCCAGGCTCCACTGGCCCCTCTCACACAAGCCCACAGGTCCTGCCTCACCCTCTCCTCCTGTGAACACTTAACACCTTCTGATGGAGAAGGGAAGGGGCAGCTGATTTATCTGTGCTCATCTGAGTGTATCATCACCATACTTTTGAGGAAAGGTCTTCTATAGGGAATTTTCTGCAGAAAAGAGCTTATACACTCAGCACTGTTACCAATATGGGACCAGTCATCTGAGCCCAGTGCACCAATGGAAAACAAAACGAGCTGTCCCGGGTTTCCAGGCCCTTTAGACAGCAGAAAAAGAAGTCTGTAAAAAGTTATTTTTAAATTACAGAAAATACATAACATAAAATCTGATTTATAAAAGTCTAATCCCTAAGAGTGATCTAAGAACACACGGTATATACAGAAAAGACCTACCAGAGCGGGCCTACTGCTAGCCTTTGAAAGGCCTGCTTACAAGACTGGCCCTTGGCTGGGGTCTGTGAACTTGGACTTGGGAGGGTTCCCAGCATTCTCAGAACTGATAAGAGTGGCTCACTGTACCTACCACCCTGCTTGTAGAAGTAGTATGTTTTATGTTGAACACCTGCTTTCCTCCTGGGGCCTGGAATTTGGGTATGTGCAAGACAAGAATATATCTACGCATGGTCAGCCCCCAACAAAAAGTCTGCGTGCTGCATCTCTAACAAGCTTCTCGATTGAGAACAAAACTCACTGCCCAGAGAATTAAGCATGTCCTATGCAACTCCACTGGGAGAAAATTTTGGGTCACTTGTGCCTGAGTTTCCCTGGACGTCATCCCATGCATCATTTCCCTTTGGTTGTTTTGCTTTGTATCTTTTGCTGTAACAAATCACAGCCACGAGCATGATTATATATGGAGTCCTCCTGGAAAATCACTGCACCTGAGGGTCTTAAGGATCCTCAATCCATGGAATCAAGCTAAAATTTAATCAAGCTAATATTTTACTTAACTGTATCAATTTCTTGACAAATGATAACCATATCTCCTATGGGATCACAATTCAAAACACAACCATCCCACAAGTTCCAAGTTCTAGATTGTTAATGTCCTGTAGACTAAGTTCACTGAAAAGGATACTTACTGTAAGAGAGGATGAACAAAAAAAGCTTAATTTAAGGGAACTATTTTTATAACTGTATAGTTATAAAAGTAATACACATTTGAATACACATTTAGTTCAATTTAACAAAAAAAAAAATTTTTTTTTTTTGAGAGAGAGAGAGAGAGAGAGAGAGCGAGCGTGAGCAGGGGGAGGGGCAAAGGGAGAGAGAGAATCCACGCCCAGTACAAAGCCCAGTGCAGGGCTTGATCTCACGTCCCTGAGATCATGACTTGAGTCAAAATCAAGAGTCAGAGGCTTAACCAACTGAGCCACCCAGGCGCTCCAATTTAACAAAAATACTTACTGAGCAAATATTACATTTCAGGCACAGTTCTAGGAGAATCAAAGGGAAGTAAGATACAGATCCCGGCTGTAAGAGGCACAATGACTCTTCCCTTCTAAATGGAAGTACTGTGGGAAAAAGAAAGGTTGGAGAAAATCCTGAAACCTGTATGCTAACAAAGCACTCAGGTTGATTCAGTATGCCCACAAACTGGAAGCTCAGTTATGATCCAAAAAGCCCAATGTTGAATAGAAAAACAGAAAAAGAGAAAAGGAACACAAAACCAACTGGGATCTAATAAAGAGGAAAACACTGGCTACAGATTTAAAAAATGAAAAAAAGAAAACTCGCAAAACTCTAAAAATGTTAATTAGCTATTATGTTCCTATCGTGTGCCTAGCACTGTGCTTGGCAACTGAGGGATACAAAAGGACCAGAAGACATAATCTCAGCCCTTCAAATGCCCACAATAAAACTGAAAAATAAATGAAAAAAATAAGTGCATAAGACTGTATATATCTTATGTGTTTGTTTATGTGCCCCACTGGGGTCCTATGGAGAAAAATGAAAACAAATCATGTAGGGATGATGGGTGAGTTTTTCTTTATTTCCTTTTTGTCACTAAATTTTTCTATGTAATGAATATGTAAATGAATTAGTGCAGAATAAGTATTGCAGGATTTCAGTAGAAAACTTTACTCCCTCCTCCCCGCCAGGCCTAACTGGAAATCTTAAGGAAAAAGTTTAATTCCATTTTCTCCTGCATTTCCAGGCTGCTGAGGCTTCATTCAGGAAGCAGAGCTTCCATCTAGGCAGAGGCAACATTCCAGGAGCAAGGAACACGAGTGTGAGTATGAAGGAACAGGTGAGCAAGCTGTTCAGAGCCAGAGTCCAAAAGGGGACACAGAGGCCAAAGGGGACACAGGGATGGCATGCTCGGGTTATGGGGGCCCCCTGATGTCCAACTAAGGACATGCACAGAAGCAGCAGGCCACTTCTAAGACTGGGGGTGAGGAGACCTGCAGTGTTAGTAATCCAGATCTCAGGTGAAGAGTCATAGCAGAGAATGGTAAGAATAGAAGCAAATGTCAAAATCCATCAGTGCCAACTGCACAGACTCCATCAACAAAAAATGACAATGGTAAAAACCCTATTTTTGGGGCGCCTGGGTGGCTCAGTCGTTATGCGTCTGCCTTCAGCTCAGGTCATGATCTCAGGGTCCTGGGATCGAGCCCCGCATCGGGCTCCTTGCTCAGCGGGAAGCCTGCTTCTCCCTCTCCCACTCCCCCTGCTTGTGTTCCTGCTCTCGCTATCTCTCTCTCTGTCAAATAAATAAAATCTTTAAAAAAAAAAAAAACAACCCTATTTTTATAAAATAAAAATGTAATTCCACATGTCTTTCTTTTCTTGCCTAAGAGAGGAGTTTAGGTGCCAATGTTTAAAAGCATATGTTAAAATCTGTCGTAACAAGTTTTAACATCTTTAATTTGAGCCGGGTAAGTAGAACCCAAAGTTTCGACTAAGTCGAAGACTGTAATTTGTGCAAGACAAAGTTAGCATGCATGTAGAGAAAGATTTTGTTTTTGCTACTTTCTAAGCTCAGAGAAACAGCTTCCCCAGGACTCTCACCCTACTTCCCTGTCCCAAATGCTATGACCAAAACATCTGAGCACAGCCGGACCCTGCCTACGGAGCAAAGGCTGAGTGAGGATCCGGCAGAGCTGGACGCGTGCCCCACGGCAGAAGCGCCGCAGCTCCTGCAGGGGGGACCCTCCGCCGGCTTGAAGCTACAGCAATGCAGCTAAGGAGCACACATTTTCCCAAAAGGTAGAGAAACAGTATTCAAGAGCCTCACATCCTGCACAGCCTTCCATATGGCTCCTCTGAAAGGTCAAATATAAATCAGGCAGCCACTGTTCTCTATGCTTTTGGAGACAGCAGAAAACCACAGACCATTTGCCCTCCCTTTTTAGGGCCAGCCTCAGTCAGCTGGGAGATGTAGGGGAGAGAGGAAACTTTGTCCCCATTAAGGGAAGTGCGGCATGGGGGCTGGGGGCAGGGAGTGGGAGTCCTTCCCAGGAAGAGGCAAGAATTGTCTAGAAAGTGAAAATACCAAGTCATACTAATTGATGTTGCAATAAATCTTAGAGACTTTTCAGCAGGGTATTGTATCTGGTGGGATCTTCTACCATAGCATTCTGTCTGTTCACTTGTCCTAGATGAGGCTGGTTAACCCCATAATGAGAGACTAGTTCAGGCTTACCTTTTTTATAACCCACATGAGACTTCGGGAGAAAAATGGGTTTCTTTTCACTTCTAAAAGACTTCTGAAAGACTCAACTTTTCCAATCTCAACTATTCTTGGGGCTCAGTGTTGAGCCACTTTTTCCTGAATGGCACCACCCCTCCTTCATCCCTTCAATTCACATATTATACACCCACCATGTGCTAGGGAACAGCGCAGCAGGTGCCAAGGACATAGAGGGGAAAATGGACTTCCGGTTCTTTATCACCCTGCTCAGGATCGTCCTTCATCTTCCCTCCGCAGTTTCCCAACTGCTCACTCCCTGTGCACCCAATCTGTGACTAACTTACACGTCTAGTGGGTGAAGTATGACCCTGAATTAGAATTGATGCACTCCTGCTTCTCCTCTACTAAACCTGCAGTCCCCTCAGGGCAAGAGCTACATCCCACTCACCTCTGAGCCCTGGCGCCTGTCACCCCACAGTGTGGGATGCAAAGTAGGAGCTCAGTAAGTGTGGGCGGAAAAGACAGCAGGTGGACACTGTTGCTGCCCTCAAGGAGATTACAGTCACATACCGTGGGCAGACATGTGCATAAACATTTGTATTGCTATGTGATGAATGCTCTGACGAGGCACAGAATCATGGAGAACAGCAAAGGGCAGACGACGAAGTGAGGAAGGAATGCATGAAGGAAGCTGGCCTGGGATGCACCTGGATAGGCAAGAGAGAAAGAAAGGGGCTGAGGGCCCTTCCCAACTGAGAGGGTAGCACACACAAGGGCAGGAGGCAAGCACAGGGCATTCAGGGAAGGGCTAGGAGCTCGGCTTAGCCGGCTGCGGGGCTGGGAAGGCAGGCAGGTTCGCACAGGCCACCTGAGGAAGGAATTCAAACTTCCCCTTGTAGGAGACGTACAACAGCTGAGTGTTTAAAGCACAGGTCTAACGAGCCTGAGGAAGATGGCTCCAGCGGAACACAGAGAACGCGGCCTGGAGAAGCAGGTGCATCAATGGCAGCCTGTGTGTGGCACGATGATGCCAGGGGCGAGCGCCGGGGGTCGGCTGGAGAGCGAGCGAGCACCGCAGGGCGGCCCGGCCTCTCGGAGGGCGCGGGCCCGCGGAACCAGGCTGAGGCGACGGGAGAACGGTGAGGACACTGGGAATTCCGGTATGAAACAAGAAACCCTTGGCTCCGGCCCGGGTTCTGTCGTCACTAACAAGCTGTGTCAACTGTCCAACCTGATCCAACACGCAGCCTCAGCTGCCTCACCTGTGAAAGCCAGCAAGCAAACTCATCTGAGGAACACGTATCGAGCCTACGTCATGCCACGAACACACAGGTGAGCACAACGTAGGGCCTATCCTCAAGGCTAAAAGGCAGGAAAGGAAACAAATGAGGTGGGCAAGTGCCATAAAATAGGTTTTAAAAAGAGCTTCTTTTTGTTATGGAAGTAATGGATATCTGTTCATTGGGAAAAAAAGCAAACAAGCAGCCCTGGACAACAGAGTAAATGAAAAAGATATTTATAAAGTAGTATATAAAATGAAGAGTGATGATGGGATAATTCATTACAAAGAAGTTCAAATGAGAGAAAGCAGAGGAGTTCTTTTATAAGTATGAAGCGTTTACAAATTCACAGACTCATCCCTACCTGGAGCTCAGGTGAGTGTGTATGCCCCCACCCACTTCGGCACCACCCACTCGGGGTGGGGGAGGGACACCTATAACAAACATCTCCAAGAAGGCAGCTTTTCCCCAAGAAAATTAACCATCAAGAAAGTTTTCTAAGGGGGACGCCTGGGTGGCTCAGTTGGTGGTCATGATCTAGGGGTCCTGGGAGCGATCCCTGCCCCCGAAGTTGAGCTCCTTGCTCAGTGGGGACCCTGCTCCTCCCTCTCCCTCTGCCCCTCCCCCTGCTTGTGCTCACTGGCTCTCTCTCTCTCTGTCAAATAAATAAATAAAATCTTAAAAAAAAAAAAAGTCGTTTTCTAAGAAATTTATTCCGGGGGCACCTGGGTGGCTCAGTCATTTAAGTGTCTGCCTTTGGCTCAGGTCATGGTCTCGGGGACTGGGACTGAGCCTGCTTCTCCTTCTCCCTCTGTCCCTCAGCTCATGCTCTCTTAAATGAATAAATTAAAAAAGAAAAAGAAAAAGAAATGGATTCCCACAAAGTAAGTTTTTTAGAGTTTAAAAACTTCTAAAAGGCTAATGAAGAGCCTTTTTGGTTATGTTTGTTTGAAACAAATAAGGAGATATTCATAAAGCAAATGACCACTGTGTACATTTATGTCTGTCAGAATTTCATTTCAATATCAGTATCTGTTCAGTAAATTATATGGCTTCAGGAAAAACCAAGAGCACTGTTCAAAATCCATGATAAATAGGATTAAGTAATTGATTAATATCAACCTATTAGGAGAATGGGAAAAGGCTAGGCGGCAGTTTATGAAAGAAATACAGTTTATTGGGGCACCTGGGTGGCTCAGTCAGTTAAGCGGCTGCCTTCGGCTCGGGTCATGATCCCGGGGTCCTGGGATTGAGCCCCACATCGGGCTCCCTGCTCGGTGGGAAGCCTGCTTCTCCCTCACCCACTCCCCCTGCTTGTGTTCCCTCTCTCGCTGTGTCTCTCTCTGTCAAATAAAATCTTTAAAAAAAAAAAGAAATACAGTTGATTAACAAAATATAAAAATAGGTTGACCTCACTAATAACAACAACAACAACAACAACAACAAAGGCAAAGCAAAGAACATTGGTTCTTTAACCAAAGGGAATTGGTTAAATAAATCATGGCACATTCATATGAAAAACTACTGTTACTATTTAGTATTTTGAAACTGAGTAACAGAGAAAATATGTAAAATACAATCTAAGAGGGAAAAGTTGGATACAAAGCACTATAGATTCCATTTTGTAAAAGAGATATGGAGAAACATAAAACATTAGACATTAGCATTAAAGAGTAATTTCTCCAAGTGGTAAGATAAGACATGACTTGCTTTCTTTTTCACCCTTCTCTATTTTCCAAGTTTTCTATAACAATGTTCAGTAATTCTTTTTTTTTTTTTTAAAGATTTTATTTATTTGAGAGAGAGAGAATGAGTGGGAGCGAGTACATGAGAGGGGAGAGGGTCAGAGGGAGAAGAAGACTCCCTGCCAAGCAGGGAGCCTGATGCGGGACTCCATCCAGGGACTCCAGGATCATGACCTGAGCCGAAGGCAGTCGCTTAACCAACTGAGCCACCCAGGCGCCCAATGTTCAGTAATTCTTAACCAGAATAATAATTTTAGAAATAAACAGCACGAATTGATGACTCTAAATTTCATGAGGGCAGGGAGCATAGCTTATATTGCTCACGTAACACAGAGCTTAGCACATCATACATGCTAATTATTTGTCAAATAGACCCACGAATGAGCAAATGAAGGATATATAACTTTTACAATTTTTATATACTTTGACTTATAGAAGAGTTGTAAGATCAACACAAAGAATTCTCAGATGCCCTTTACCCTGATTCCCCAAACTTTAAACTACATTGGACTTTTATCCTTCTCTCTAGACAGAGATTTTCTCCTAATAGCTAAAATTAGCTCCTCTAAAGTCCTTCTTGAGTGTCAGAAAAAAAGGAATACAAGGAACACAGAAAATGCCAGAGTTCCTATCTTGACCCAAGAAGTCTGACAGCTCTGCCACTTTTAATACATACATGAATGGAGAACTTCAAGTGGGAAACTTCACAGATATTTCACACCAGCTATGAGCCCTCAACCATGTAAGTATTAGGCAAGTCCCAAGAGGAGGATTAGAGAGAAAAACATAGAACAGAGGACCCAAAGCAAAAGGCCAACATATTTTAAAAGAAGGATAAATTCTAGTAAGTCCAAATCTTGGAGGTCAAAATAAAAGTTAAGTTGCATGTCTGACTTGAGCCAAACAGAAACAAAGCATCCTCAAGGATGAGGTGGAGGGAGGGAGGCAGGAAGAGACAGTAGGAAGAGAAGGGAGAGAAAAACCAGTGACTGGCGGGCTAGAAAGCGTACTGTAAGCTGTAACTCAGCAGCAACAGACCCTGCTTCATTTAAGGTCTGGAAGGAAATGCTTTTGTGGTTGTGAGTTTTAGTTGATTTCCTTTCGGAATTTTCATTTTTTCCAAGTAAATCCTATCTGCCAAAGCAACAAATTTTTCCTGGCAGTATCAGACCGATACCCACATAAGCTAAAGAACTGGTGTCTGTGTTAGACACAGTCTTCCAGAAGCTGTTAAAGACTCGATTTGAGTCTATAGCTCGCAAGATTATTAAAGCCATAGAATCCTGGAAAACAACAGTCTTGGACAAACTAAGAAATGAGTTGATAGCCCTTACTCAAGGTTGTTCAAATGTAGGTCATTCAAGTATTTTAGGAAATATTTGGTACCCATTCAGGCCCTCAGTAACAATTTCCTGAAAAATTTAACTTAAACCAGTTATATTTCACTTTGAAGGTTATTCACAACTTGATTCTCACAAAGGAAAAGTAGATCTATCTATCTGGCACCGGTAATTTCTCTATGACAGAATTATCTGTGAAACACTGACTTCAAGTCTAAAACTACTCCCCTAAACACACATTAGGCACTTGTGGTTCCAATTTCCTAAGTAAAACTCAGTATCATGCCCCAAAGAGGTGCCACATATTTTCAAAGACTGAAATACAAGGCATTGTAAAAAAAAAAAGGGGGGGGGGGCATTACTTATCATGCCCACTGAATTTTGAAAGCCATTAAAAGTAATGCTTTGGCATACCTGACAATTCTTGTTTCACAAACGAGAGCACAGCCAGATAAACTTGACAATCGGCTATGATTATCTGCCTCTGAAGCCGATCAACCATAGAGGGGGCAGATTTTCGGACATCAACCTGTTTGGTGGAAGGAAAGTACACATTGATCAACCACACACAAGAACAAGACTCCATCCAAACCACCATTACTTTACTGTGCAAAATAATTTCACGTAGGAACTGAGAAACAGGGCACTAAAAGCCAAGACCAAATTTATACCATATTCCCATGAGATCTGGCTCTGTTTTGTTAACCATACAATGAAGAACATTGTAACTCAAAGACAAATATCCTAAGCGAGAACAATGAAGCTCATGGGAAACCATGAAAGTCAACACGAAAATTTAGAGGTTTACCTTTTTTGAAACAGTTTAAGTTGTTACTTATCCAAAATAAAACCCACTAAAGGTAGAAAACATCCCCCAAAATAGATAACCCGAAAAGCCACTTTGCAGCCATCTACCTTCATTCATATAGGATGAACACTGGGGTTCGTAACTTCTGTGCACACAGAGATGTGAGGGTCGAAAACTGATTACATTTTACTTAAGGATAAAATAGGTTTGAATGAACCACAAACTGAACTCAGAATTTAAGCTATACCTCCAAGGTGACTATCTCTATAAAAGAAGCAAAACAATTAATTTTTTAATTAAAATTAAAAAACCTACTTTTTTATAAAATGTTGGTCCTTATTCTAAAGAATGTTTGTAAGTGAAAAAATTTACCCCAAAATAGAATACTGCATTCTTAATACAAAGTGAACTTGAACAAGATAAGCTAAATAGTTTTCATAGGCTTTCACAGTGATGTAAGAAATGATAGGATCTATGGGGCGCCTGGGTGGCTCAGTCGTTAAGCGGCTGCCTTCAGCTCAGGTCATGATCTCAGGGTCCTGGGATCGAGCCCCACATCGGGCTCCCTGCTCGGCGGGAAGCCTGCTTCTCCCTCTCCCACTCCCCCTGCTTCTGTTCCCTCTCTTGCTGTGTCTCTTTCTGTCAAATAAATAAATAAAATCTTAAAAAAAAAAAAAAGATAGGATCTTTGCAAATACGACAACAGCATATATAGTAGACACAAAGAATGAACTGTTTTCCTTTTTTCTACATTAGCATAATCTATTATGGTCACTATTGTTGCAAATGTAGTCCCAGAACTCATTACTTTGCTTAGGCAAATGTCAGTCTATTGATGCTCCTGGTTCTTTGTAATAACATCTACTGTGTCGGGTTGTTGGAAGGACTAATGAGGTACTGTATGTGAAAATGCTTTTTTAAATTGCAAAGACCCATTACCAGTGTTAATTCCTAACATAGGTGGTTAGGCATGGAATTAGATACAGAAAACAAACAAATAACTTATAGTCTAATGAGGGAACACTGACTTCATTACCATGTAATGTAGTAAGTGCTTCTGAAGGGTTGAGTACAGGGTACTATGGGGACAAGGAGGAAACCTACTCAAAACAGCTTTGGGGCTCAGGCAAGAGTCCTTGGAGTAAATGATCTAGGAAGAACTCAAGAAAGTGTAGGAACCAGGTCCAGAGGGAGGAGAATGTTCTAGGCAGAGGAAAAGGAAGTGCCAAGTCAGCCACAGTAAGGAGTTTGGCAAGGTGTAATGTAATGGCAAGGGTGGGGTAGGGACACCAAAAATGAAGCCAGCAACCTATTATTTGCATTTTAGAGACTGTATTATGGAGAATGAATTCAAGAACAGTGAGAGTTGTTGCAGGCAAATGGGGATGGTGGCTGACCTAAGGACATGGCAGGAGTGGGGAGAGAAGTGGATGAGTTGAGGAGGTGCTTTAGAAAGAGAGGCAACAGGACTCAGTCACTGATCAGATGCAGGGTTTGCAGAAGGAGCCAGCAAGGAAAGCTCTGGCCCTTCTGGAGCATCAGGAGACTGTACTTTTGGCCCATCAGTGGCTTCCTCACGGTGGACACCATCAGCAAGAGCAGAGGTGCAGCAACCTGGACACGAACTAGCTGAAGAAAAGATGGGCAGCTTTTGAGGACTATAACCCAAAGACAGGTTTGTCAGTTCAACAGGTAACACAGGGAGACCTCTGGGCACTCCAGAAACATCAGGGGTAGAAGGAGGTCTTCCCAAAGACTAGACTTTCGCACTGGAAGATGAAAGCAAAATCAGGAGAAGTTAATTACAATGTTATTGTGACTTTATTGTGTAACCAAAGGCTGGTAAGGAAAAATTAGGTAAATAGCTGAATTCCTCAGTAATGCCAAAATGCAACATATCTGAATTACAGATACATGAAAGCCTCATTACAAAAGCTCTTAGCACGTGGCCCATTATGGAAGAAGATAATCTTAAGACAGCAAAAGAATTAATGCACTGAATGGTTTTAATGACAGACAAGCAGGTGGGGGTGGGGTTCCATTGTTTTTAAAAAAAAAATACATTTTACTTAATCAAAAGCCATAAGAAACATGTAGTGCTTTCAGTCATATCTGAAATATTGAAAACCAAGTAAAGGAGCAATGCCCTACGTCAGTGGCACTCCATTCACAACCTAAAGACATAGTGCTTACATTCTTCTTAATTTTATTCTTGATGGTTTCAATTACTCCAGCCTCTTCGCTTTCACACAGTTTCTCTGTCGTCTTTAAGTCATCACACGCCAACTGCATTTTTTCTTCCTCAAATGTCATCATGGCGTTCTTCCAAGAAAGAAATAAGGAAAGAAGGAATGAATCGGCAAGTGTCTGAAAATTTAGGCGATTTAATACAACAAAATCCCAAACTAGGAAGAAAAAAAACATTCAAATTTTATTTGTTGCAAGTAAAAGAATGTTACAGCATACCCTAATCATTTCCAAGAACTATAATCTCAATATGAAAATAAGAATATACCTCTATCACACCTACACGAAAAAATACAGGGTAGTAAACGTTCTCAGTTACAGTTCTAGGACCTTTTTAGTTGTTATGGAACACAGTAACCAAAGCCCTGCATAATTTCTGATTGGTCCACTTCATTCAGTTTTTATAGCAGTGTCTCACTGAAAAGTTCATTCTCCCCACATGTGGACCCCTGGCCCCGTCAAGTACTGCACAGAATCGCTAGTAGGTTCACCTTGAAAAGCGTCAGTCTTTTCAGGGACAGCAATTCCAAGGGGTTCCCTTATTTGGAACTCATATTACACGGTCCACAGTGAAAAATTCCACTGGCAGCCTGGTGGAGTTTTCCAGGCCACATCTGAGTGGGTAAGGGCAATCCTTCTCTGCTGAAAACCTGCTACTTTGACCAGTGGCATAGAGGTTTCTGAGGTTATGAATGGGCTGTCGGGGCAGAGACAGGACACCTGGTTCTTGGAAGGACCTAATGAGCTCTTCGTAGCGAGCTCTCTACCATGCCCTATCCATTCGGCAAGCCCTCCCCTTGGCATTCTAGGTCTCCTTGGTAGGACTCCAATACACTCTCCCCTTGTAGCCAAGCCAGACCACTGCCACCTTTGTCCAAGCCCCCTGCCACACTTGCTTTCCAAGCAGACCCCAGACCTGTCACAGCCTCCCTCCCCACCTTCCTCCTCCACCAGCCAAGCTTTGGCTGGGTCTCCGTCCCTGCCTTTGTAGTGAAGCAGGTACTCATGTTGTGATTCCCACAGAGTACTGTTTTCCTTAAAGTCGGATGCTGTGTTTTCTTGTAAATGGCAAGGCTTAAAAATTAGTGTTGTATTCCCCGGCGAGAGGAGGAAATAAATAGCCTGAATGAAAGTCCATGCCACCAGAAGCTGGCCAGGTACCTGAGGTTGGGCACGGAGAGCCAGCCGGCACAGGACACGCTGGTGTGCAGAGATCTTCCTAGATCTGAAATCATTTAAATGCTTTCTCTATTTTACTTTACTCGGTCTCTACACATACTGATTATAAATATGTACACACACACACACAATTTGCTATTATACCATTCTATGAGTGTTTTTTTTTAATTATGTGTTTGAAAGTGGTTTGTGTGATGTTATACATATTTCTAGAAAAAAAAGCATCCAATTTTTTACATTGCCGAATTTTCTTTAAACACATAACTGCAACCTATTCCTTCAATTCCTAAATACTAATATTTAAAAATGTAATAGTAACTAATAAATTTCAACTCTGCTAATTTAAACTTGCTTCCCAGTCCACATTTATTCAATAATTTTAGAGCAAAACCTTTCGTATCCAAAGTCTGGCCTTTTTTTTTTTTTTTTTTTTAATCTCAGTTTTATTTTTTGAGAAGGCCTCTGCAATTTTATTTTTATTCAAAAATTTTTTTTGATTGGGAAAAACAATTCTCTGGAAGGTATTAGCATTTTATTTTTTAAATTAAGGGAAAAAGGATGTCTCACAGGTGTTGGCTAATAGGCAAAACTTTACTACACTTTTAAATGCTAAAAGATCTATCTCTATAGGGGCACCTGGGTGGCTGAGTCGGTTAAGTACCCGACTCTTGATTTTGGCTCAGGTCATGATCTCAGGGTCATGAGATCGAGCCCCGCCTCGGGCTCTGTGCTCTGTGGGTAGTCTACTTAAGATTCTCTCTCTCTTCTCCCTCTGCCCCACACCCCCTACCCTGTGCACACTCTCTCTAAAATAAATAAATCTTTAAAATAGAAGATCTGTATCCATACAGCTAGTAACTCTAGGACATACTTTATATACTTGTTTCCTTCACACCAATACCTCTCCCCATACTAACTTACCAAGAAACTGACGAAACTGGCTCCAAAACTCATTAATGGGCTATGATTTCTGTTAAGGAAACAAAATAAAAATACTTTTAATGTATACTTTTATAAACATTTGATACATTAGGATCGCTATATATTTCTTAACGACTGAGCCACCCAGGCACCCCAGGATCACTATATATTCCTAATAATTGGACAGACAGTAAAGTCTTAAAGCTGATTAAATTACCCTAAGAAAGGGGCACCTCGGTGGCTTAATCGGTTAAGTGTCCGACTCGTGATTTCAGCTCAGGTCATGAACTCAGGGTTGTGAGATCAAGCCCCGTATCAGGCTCCATGCTGGGAGTGGAGCCTGCTTGAGATTCTCTCTCTCCCTCTCCCTCTGCCCCTTCCCTCCTCTCTCTTGGCTTCTCTCAAAAAAAAAAAAAAAAAAAAGAGAGAGAGAGAGAGAGAGAGAGAGAGAGAAAGAAAAAAGAAATTATCCTAAGAAAAATGTTGGAGGCAAGGAGGTTCACAGGTCTGTCTGCCAAAATAGAGGCTGATTCTTCAAAGCAAGGCACACAAGAAAATCAAATGATAACAGAGACTGCTTTAGTAAACCAACCTGACATCTGCACACATGTGGCCAAAGGAAGATGATTAATATTCATCTTAAAAATGCAAAACATGTTCAAAACTTTGCACACATAAAATATCATTTTTAATGTAGATCAAAGGGTTTCTACCATGGAGCCAACCTTGAAAGTTCACTAATTCCATCTAAAGAACTTTAAGAATGCCTCGCTAGGGCAACACTCTTGGGTCCCCTCCCTCCTCAGGAGCTTTGTACTAGCACTTTGCTATTGCTCAACAAACCCTGCTTCGCTGCCCACCCCCCCCAACCCCACCCCTGCAAAAAGTCGCCTTAGTGTCAGACACTCCACCACTGTAATACAGTCATTATGAAATTACGTATGTAAGCCAAACAGAAACCAAATCAGACTAATACCAATTCAAGGAATACAGGAATATAAACGTTCCACTTCAAATTCACAACCAGTACAAATTCTAAATTTCTGTAAATTTCACTAAAAGAGAAAACAAGTGGTAAATGCCTTCTTAAAGAAAATAACTTTACTGATTTTTTAATTATGCAAGATAACATATGGTCATTCTAAAAAAGGAGAGAACAATGCATTTAGTCAATCCCCTACAGGAAATTTAGTTTGTGTCCACAAAGCGAATGTGTGTTTGGGGGGGAGGGGCAGGGAACATGCACATTTGAATGTATATATGTACATACATGCATATATCCAATGTATCAGATGAATATCTTTGTACATGTATCTTCTCAGGCATGTCCAAATATATTCTTGGGATAAATGGCTAGAGATTGCGTTACTGAGTCAGATGGAGGCAGGGGGTTGGGCAGGGGAGTAAGTGGAGGGAGCAGGGAAGGAGGAAGGTGGGAGGAAGCGGAGGGGCAGTAAGGAACCTGATTTATTTGGAATATTAACTTTCTGCTACATTTTTCCCCATCTATTTAGTACTTATTTAAACTCTACAATGAATAATAATTTGTTTACCCCCACCTAATAGGATACTAAACCAACAAGAAAAAACGTAGGAAGGTCAACTCATTAGTGATGTATCCCCTACTAGCATTCACATCCATAAACCAAGCTCAAGCAGCACATCTCGAGCCCACTGCCAAGTAAGCTTTCCCCCCACAATGCAGCAGAGCAGATGGCAATTTTCCCAGCCCACGGCTCTGCATGGACATACCATTATAGGCTCCCAACCTAATTTGGTTTGCCTATCAGTGTCCCTTCTAGAATGTTATTTTCTGCTTCTTATCCCTTATCATGCCTTACACACAACAGGCTTTCAACAAATACACATCAGTGAAGGAATGAAAGACAGAGCCCTGCCTTTTAGGAACAAACACATTTCAGTCAAGTGCTGACGAGTATGGCCTTCCCCTTTCCTTGCTTACATGTTAGCCACTTTGCCGTCTGAAAAATGAAAGGAGTTGAAACTAGGGCCTGGTGTTGCCACATGTGCTTCTTGTTTTGGACTAAAATTGAGTGTCTGGGAGCCAACTATTAATTATTCATGGTATCCTAGCCTGGCCCTCAGTAGTTCACATACCATCGTGGGTGAAAAACCAGCCCTGTGGGAACACTCTTACCTCCCTGATGTACAGTCTCCGCAAACCCCACAGCATCTGGTACATTGGACAGTGTACCCAGCACAATAAACTGATCAATAAATACACACCCTCTCATATCCTGCACAAGACCTGTTGTTTTAAGAATTTAACAAGGCTCATTTGACTTTTTAAGCCTACGTTAACTTACGTCATCTTGATCATTTTGGCCCACAGATGTGTTTCTACATAAAACTTACTCATTCAGGGGATTTGGAAATGTTCCCAAAGAGTACAAGTCTCATTACTTTAAAACCGAAGCTAAGGAAGGAGAAGGAAGAGGCTCCTAGCTCACCTCAATATGCTCATATTGGGAACCAATAAACAATGACCCAAACTGGAGGGGAGTTGAGGGTATTATATAAAGACTGAGTATAAAAGTAAGCTTTAGAACCAAAACACAAAGTACCAGAAGATCTATAAGAACAGAGGTGAGGACAAGTGAAATAGACCACCCAGTAAAAACCTCCCTTATTTAAAAGAAGAGAGGATATAAGTACAGAAATATATACATATTTGCTAATATTGAAAAAAATGGTGGAATAACCTATCATTTAAAAAAATGGATACTACAAGGTGAGAGAAGGAATAGGGAAGAAGAAACAAGGGTAGAAACAAAGCTTCTCTATGGATTAGACATTGGAACCATGTAAATATTGCACATCATAATACCGAATTTTAATAATGCAACCCCTAAAAAGTACAATTAATGCAAATCCAGTTGGTAAAATAACCACACAGAATTATTCCAAGTGATGTTAGAACACAATAATCTAACAGTGCACTTTTATTATGAAATACCCTTAAAAACAGACTCCAGAAAATGGAAAAAAAAATTTGTTTCCCGTAATCATATTCTCACCAGTCAACTTAGTATTGTCATTCTAAGGCTGCTGGGGATGTAATTTGTGATAAAGCAACATGTAGGTATGATGGTGTTTGTTGGGACTCAGGGCTTTGTGAATAGGAAAAAGAGTGAAGTTAATTAAAAATCTTATAGCCTAGAATAGGAACTCATCTTTAAAAAATACATATTTCCTGTCTACTGAAAAAGCCTAGAAATAACACCACCAGTAGCCCTGAGAATGCCTAACACCTTCTCTAAATACATTAGGTAAAAGGGACCATGGCTCCTTGAAGAAATGACTGATTCCAGGTCAGGGATAAGAAATGTTTGAGAAGAGCCTGGAATATCTTGTTATAGTAGAAAGCAAGGAAACTTAAAAGTTATATTACTGTCTTAAGAGGTTCCCACTATGCAAATATGGAACAATTTAATCCCTAATGAAGGTAAAAACAGCAATGGATTGAAACATCAAATACGGTTAAACTGTAAGTTCATAATAGTACTTTTAATTTAAAAACAAAACAAACGCTCTCTGGATGCCTATGGAAGATCCTAAGGAACGAATTCATTATTTTGGAAAAGGATTTAAAAAAAGAGAAGGAATAAGCATTTACCCTGTCTTTCTCTAGGGACTCAGTAATGAATTAGCTGCATGGGAGGGCAGTCTTTTTACAAAAATACCCTGGGATAATAAATGAAAAGCAAAAGATAGAATCAGTGTTTCATTTTACAGCTCCCAATGAAGTAATGGATATGGGCAATGACCATAGAGACAAGGGAACATATTAACCACCACCACACTGATATGATCAGCAATATCCAAGCTGTGGAAAACTCTACAGGACAAAAATCCTAGTTTCTTCAATGACAATAAAAAAGTGTATGGAGGGGGTACTGAAAGGGAATCTCCAAAATAAAAGGTACAAAATACAAGAGACACTTAAAGACACAGACACATCAAACAATACACACACACACACACACACACATATATAAACCAGTAACAATTAGAATATGAAACGAAAAACCACAATAGCACCAAATCACTAAGTATCTAAGGATAAATCTAACAAAGATGTGCAATATTGTCACACTGAAAACTCAAAACATTACAAAAAAAAACAAAGACCTAAATCAGGGTTTCTTAACATTTTGGGTCAGATAATTTTTTCTTGTGGAGGCTGTCCTAGGATTTGTAGGATGTTGGGCAGCATCCCTATCCTCTATCTACAAGTTGCCAGTAGCACACAGCCACTCTTCCACCACAGATGTGACAACAAAAATGTCTCCAGACATTGCCAAATGTCCTCCGGGAGCAAACCGACCCTGCCTGAGAATCACTAATCTCAATACAGAGATATACAGTTCTTGTGGGTTGGAATTCAATATTGCTACAATGTTAATTTCTCTTAAACTGAACTATAATTTAAATGCAATCCAAAGCAAAATCCCCGGGTGTGTGTGTGTGTGTGTGTGTGTGTGTAAAGAAAAATATTACAATGGCCAAATCAAATTTGAAGAACAACGATAAAGCTGGAGACCTGATATCAAAACTTAATTAAAACTAAGAATTCCTGTTCACTCATTAGAGATTACAAAAGACAAATCACAGACTAGGAGAAGATAGTTAAATACATTTATCCAACAAAAAGCTCATCCTCAGAATATGTAAAGAATTCCCACGAATAAAAAACATCAACCCAGTAAAAACGGGCAAAAGTCTTTAACAGGCACTTAACAAAAGAGGGTATCTTAAAAGTCAATAAGCATATTAAAAAGTGTTGAAAAGCACTGGTTATCAGAGAAATACAAATTAAAACCACAATGAGATGCCACTATACTCTTATCAGATTGGCCATACTTGCAAGGACTAACACTACCAAGTGTTAATGAGAATGTGGAGCCCCTGGAACTCACACACTGCTTAGCAATATCTACTAAAGCTAAACACATGCCTACCCTGTGATCCAGTAACTTCACTGTTTGATATATATATATCGTACACACACACACACACACACCAGAA